TTATTACCAGTATTATTATTATTATTATAATATAGGATTTATATAGCGGCAACAGTTTGCGCAGCGCTTTACAATATAAGGAAGACATTACAATACAAATTTTTTTTTTTTTTTAATTATTTTTATTAAAGTTTTTTTGCAAGTAATACATTTACAACATTCGCACTCACAGCCGTGAGGGCACACATAAAGTGCAACAATTGACCCCCTACAGGCCAATCCCAACCATGAGGTTAACTTCTTTTAAACATAAACATAGCCTCCCCCACACAATACAATTTAAGACAAGATGGTAAGGACCTATAGAATTATAATTGTACTTTTGTTTTCCACCTCTGGTTCCCAGGAACTACTGACTTTGAGGGGACTGTGAGGGGTTTCTGCGCTGTAGGAAGCTGTTCATTAGGACCGTGTCACACAAGCAATTTTTACCTTTTTTTTATTTTTTTTATTTTATAGGAAAAAATGATCTGCAGTCAATGAAAGGTTCATGTTGCAGTGAATGCCACAACACAACCTGTAGCCCAGTTGCTGACTGACTAGATACAGAATTGCAAGCTGGAGTAAACATGTGCTTCAGGGCTTGTTCACACCACAAACGCATCCCGGCCGGCTCCCTGGAAGTGTGGCACATCAATGCCTGCATTCCGATCTGGTGCGGTCAGAAAAAATGCTGCGTGCACTCCCGCCCCTGAACGCAGGGAGTTGGCCCGGGATGCGATCCAGTGTGTTCCGGCACCACTTTGGGCTGGAATGCACTGTTTGTGGTGTGAACTAGCCCTCAAAGTTTTTGTTTTGAATGGAGTGACAATTGGTCAGAACCATGTCAGGTTTTTGTCACCACAACAGCAGAGGTCAAACTTTCCAATGGGGGACATGTGCACCTGTTACATTTTGGAAAGGTTTGTTTTGACTTCCTCTTGCATCTCCAGGTCAGGAAATGAAGGGGAATCTCCCCATTGGGACACAAACAGCAAAAAATAAACTGACAGATTTTAACCAACCCTGCTGTATCCACAACTACAAAAAAAAATTGGATTTATATATTCTTAATAGGGAACGGTGGAGTTGTGTTGTTTGTCTCCCAAAAGATGCAGGTTTTTCAGTGCTATAACAATAATCTACAAGTGTGTTATGTCTGCATCCAGCAATTTCTTTTTTTTTTCATTATGGATTTTAAGCCATCTGTCTGACATATTGATAGGCTTTGTTTTTTCCTGTTGCAGCACAAGTACACAGCGGAGGAGTACCAGGCTATCCAGAATGCTCTGCGGCAGAAGCTGGGACCAGAGTATATCAGCAGCAGACAGGCAGGAGGTGGACAGAAGGTACATAGACAGAAATTCTCACTGCGTCCTGCTGTCACATATTTGTGGAGCTTTGATACTTAACGAATACAAGACTCTCATATGAATTGCTACAATCCTGCTGACAGCTGAAGCTCTCTTATATGACAAAATCAGTTTTGTTATATTATGGCAAGTTTGTTTTCTTGATTGCACATCACAAGACACAGGGAGTTAATTATTTGGAGAGATGGGTTATGCAGCTACCTTCAGGTGATTGGACACAATCAATTAAAGCTGCTGAACAGCCCTGTATAGCATGTCTCATTTCTAGCCTGCCTTAGTTTTTGCTAATGTCCTTAGGTGAAGTGCAGCCTTTCCTGCTATTTCTTCTGAAGATTCTTCTAGCAGCTTTTTTTTTTTTGCTGATTATAGCTACTGCGGCACCTAACCGCAGCTATCCAGGTTTTCTCCTTGGCGGACCGTACCCAGACCCTTTTCTAAAGAATATGAGGGGATAGCCTGTAATGTGCTTAGTGCACTAGATGCTTTATAGGGGCTCTCTTCTTTGCACTTTTTGCAGCTTGTGTAGTTGCCCCAGGGTGCTTTACATGTCCAGGACCATGGTCCATTGCGGTGGTGACCTGTCCCTAAAGACTGAATGAGGCATGTTCCCTTTGAGTGACTGCGCAGTTGAGCAAGCTGCCCCTTCGATGGTGAGAAGGGCTTGCCCCTACTAGGGTACCCTGTTTGCCCCTTCCCCGTGCGGATCAAAGATTATGTATATACTATATTTCCTTCAGTCTGCCTTAAGTACTATCAAGGGCCAAATCTCTGCCTTGGAAATTCTTTCTAGAGGCTGCTAGAACCTCAGAGATATTCCTCTTGCCCTACTGATTTGCAAGGTTTCCTTTTTCATCGCCATCACTCGCCCCAGGAATGTTTCTGAGTTGGCAATCTTTAATTTTAACGAGCCTTTTCTGGTTATCCACAAGAATAAGATAATTCTGAGGCCTAAGGTCTTCTTTCTACCTTAGGTGGTCTCTGTCTTTTACCTTTACCTGCACATTGTTTTACCATCCTTATGTCGTGCGCAAAAGCATCCTAAATACATTTTTCTCCATTGTTCCAGTCTTACTCTCTGCTTCAGCTTCCATCCACAAGCTTGACTCAGTTTGTCATGCCTGCATCATGGCCCCCCCAAAAAATATTTGTGAACACACTACTAAAAAAACACTTTCCAATACAACAAATATGTTTGCTAACTATAATTGTATTTAAAAATTGTGTACCTTTTCTGGATATTTTATTCCGTTGTCACATGACTGCACAGCTTCCCTTCATGTTCCTTTTCCCCATAGAAGGGGGGGGGGGGGTCTGCATAGTAAGGGTCAGTCAAGTTATACACATCACCTCCCCAGCATGTAAAAGCCAACCTCCGTAATGCAGTGCTCCCAGTCCTACATTCTCCACCTGTACACTATGCATAAAACACCCACCAGGCCTCTCCACTCCTATATGTGTAAAAGCATCTCCCAGTCCACTTACCCTGTTGTCCTCTTTCTCCTGAATAGGCCCGTGCGCTGCCTGGAATACGTGCCTCCTCCCACTTTCTCCCCTGTTTGTATGTGGTTGGCTGCTTTGTAGTATTTAGACTTCAACCAGATGGAGCAATGTTTTGCTACTGTATTTGATCATATTTTACAGTATTGCCGTGAAATATGTATTAATATTTTGACCTCTTTGGAGTCTGCCCTTGCAGACCACCATCTAAAAATTACAGTTGCTTGTCTTTTATACAAGCCCACTGAGTTCAATACATTCTAAGATGTCACCGACCTAGAACAAGTATTTTGATCAGGATTGTGACAGATAAGTCTGCAGTCCTTACCTACACACTTATCCCAAGTGAGTAGCTCAAAGTATAAATGTGACAGGGCCAGTATGCGCTAGTTTTGGGAATTGCATCATACATTAGCTTTTTAATTTACCCAAAACAATAATTTACTGTGAGATGGAAGGGTGACTAGGGAAGGCCAGTAGGGCTCCGTTAAACTAAACAACCACCCCATGGGACAAGGGGTGGGGACATTTGCACATTGTCTGCAATGCTGAGTTGGTATCTGTAGGCAATAAGAAGGAGGAGGATACTTCAGAAAACTTTTAAGATAATAGAAATTTCCCGTTCTATATTTCATGCTGGAATGTGTGTTTTGCTTGGAGATTACCTTTAACTGTATTATTAAATTGTGCTCCTTGAATACAAGAAGGTGCTTTATGAGTGTGCATTTCTCTCTTGTAAGGTTTGTTACATTGAAGGACACCGAGTAATCAGCTTGGCCAATGAAATGTTTGGGTACAATGGCTGGTCGCACTCCATATCTCAGCAGAATGTGGGTGAGTTACTCTGACAGGAAACAAAAAATTGGATGCACTTTACAGATTTGTGAAATATCTCCTGGTTGTAATTCCAAGAACTTTATATATAACCTTGGGCTGTTGGCACCCTCTAGATAAGGCCCAATGTGCCAACAATACTTTGAAAGCTTACCCAACTCATATGGACTTTGGGACACCCAACTCATAGGCAATATATTATTTTGCCTGAAACATGTCTTTTGAGGTGATGAGATCTGACACATGTGAGCAGTCTTGTTGGGCTCTAAAGGTGCCCATACACCTTAAAATTATCTGCCGTGAACTGGAGGAATATTTATAAAGCAAGTGTGTGTCTTGGAACTGTGTGAGAAGGCTGAGAAAATAACAGAAGGACTGAACGTAATAGTGGACTGTCCATTAGGAGGAAAAATAATGCAGGTCATGTACTCTTACAACAGTGGGTTTTTGGGGAAATGCATACTTCAAGTCCTCAACAGATCCCTGACTACCCTCCTGTATTCTTCGGGGGGATAGTGCTCCAGCGACCTAGAGGAGAGGGGATTCTTCAAGTTCAATCATAAGTAACACTGTTTACTCACCCAGACACAGGATTGCATACCCAGACTATTGAAAAACTGTGTGGTACATTGAAATGGAGGGGGCCACATATGGAAATAAAATGAAGTAAATACGTTATGAAATAAAAATTTTCTCCTGGTGAGTAGCTCCCAGAAAAGGGACAGGTACCAGAAATGGTCTGCTTATAGTCAACTGGATGGGCACTTTTGTGTCCTTTCCTTATTATTAAGTTAATTGACTTAATCCCATAGTTTTATTATTTATTTATTATAGTGTTAATTAAAGGGAATGTATCGGTTATGCTCTTACTTGGCTCAGGCAAGGCTTCCATCCAGTGCTGCTGGTTGCCATTGCTTGAGGAAAGCAACATTTTTCAAGCAAATTAGATACAAAACTAGATGCACAAAATATATTGCAAATATTAAAACTTGTCTCATTCCTTGCTTCAGCAAGCTTCCCCTTAAGCCTCTTTTTTTTCCCCCCGCTGTGGTTGGCACTCCCACTCTAATGGCATGACGTTCATTGTAGACCCAGTAGTCTTACCTTGTACTTTAGGACGCTCCAGTGAACGACAGAGTGTCGAAGAGGTGAGGTGAACACTGGCATTCTGCTGGAGCAAGGAGTAAGGTAAGTATTATAGCTTATTCCTCTAACCCAGGGGCGCCCACTATTTTTCGTCTGGAGATCTACTTTTCAAATGACGAGCTAATTGAGATCTACCAACGAAAAATACATTCAGCCGGCAGCCGCACGCGCACCACGGGAGCATAGCCGTAGCCAGTTACTTTCGCGCCTGAGGCAAGGAAAAAAACAACATTTTTTTTTTTATTTATTTTTTACTATTTTTTATTTTATTTTCATTATTTTTTTTTAAACCTTGTGGGCACCCCTGCTCTAACCCTAGTCTAAACAAGCATGGGAATCCCCACTACAATGGTACTTAAAAAAAAAAGAGTCCATCTTTAAGAAGTGGTGAGGGGATATATTGTCACAGTGCTGCTTCAGAACAGCAGAAGGCAGAATTTATGAATCAAACTGCAATATAATATACTGCATATCTGTCTAATAATAATTCTCACTGCTTCTGATTAGCATTGCCTTACTGTGGGACTGATTTCATAAATGTCCTCCATTGTGTGTAATGCTGTAGAGATTTTTTTTTTCCCGATGTAGCACCAGTTCTGCAAGTTAGATGATGGTAGCTCCCAGTACTGGATGGGAACCTCAGCTGTGACCAAAACCAGCTGCCCTAACAGCTTCTCTGAAATGTTTATTGTTAAAACTGTTTGCTTCCATTTGCTAATGACACCTGGAAGTACAACAGAATGGACATGCATGAGCTTCAAAAGACAATACCATTTGCATATAGTACAATGCTTTTAGCTTTATTAGACCTTTGAAACAATACCCTGTTGTATTGCTGAATAATTCAAGGAGAAAGATCAGATCTTTTGCACTAAATTATGTTTTCTGTGCAGATTTTGTGGACCTCAGTAACGGAAAGTTCTATGTTGGAGTCTGCGCGTTTGTCAAAGTCCAGCTGAAGGTCGGGTATTTTACATGAGCTGAACAAACTTGCACCTTGTTCCGATTTATTTTTAGGCACACTTTTTTTAATATTAAATTAGACCTCCAGGTACATTTTGTTGAATGGCCTAAGGAAGGGATAGAGCTCTGTGGGCTTGTTATTGCCGTCTGTGTTCCCCTTTGGGTTACTCTCTCCTTACTTTGCGTGGTCACCTAAGTGAGACGAGATCGCAATGAAGAACACAGAAAGCAGTAAAAACCTGATCAAGCTTCAGTGCTTCCACACAGTAAGTGCTTGTCTAGATTTCTCTTTAAATCAAACATGCCGTGGCTAACCACTCACATGCTGGTAATAGTAGGTACCTCCTGGTGCTTCTGTGCAGTGTAATTTTTGAGGAGCCTCTAAAATCAGGGTTCTAAAATAAATCCAAGCGAAACTAACCTAAAAACCACAAATCAATTTATAACTAGCCTGAAAAGCAAGGTGCACTCGGAAGGGCTTGCAACAATACAAAACATTTTCCAGCACACTTACCAGCTAGCTGGCATTAAAAACAGGTTTCTTGCAAAATATGTGGAAGCCACACTGCCTTGTCAAGGCTCTTCTGTGATGTGTGGTCCTAGCTCTAAACTCGGAGAGCCTCCATATTAGAGCATATAAAGCAGTAGATAAATTGAATGCAGGGTATGCCTGGAGGGAGCCCACTCCTTTGTAAGGCATAGGGACACACTGGAGGCCCAGCACATAAAAATGCATGCTGAAGCCTCAGATACTTCCCCACTGCAGAACATGCAGGAGGGGTAGGGCCAAGATCTGACTTCATTAATTATGTATTAGACCTCCTGGGTTTAGGTGCTCACAGGGCTTACTAGAACACTGACACTACATATAGGTACCGTGTTTCCCCGAAAATAAGACACTGTCTTATATTTTCTGTGGCTCAAAAAAACACACTAGGTCTTTATTTTTTTTTATGTATAACAATCCAAAGTTAATGCAAATTCAAATTAAATAATCCAAAATGGCAAAGTTAAGAATAGGGTAATCAGGGGTGCCATACGTTTCCAAGAGCAATTTGGTAACCAGAATGAGCGAAGTGCATTTGGTATCACTCTGCCTGTGACAGGAGCCGGGGCTATAGAGGAAACATCGGCTTATGTGGCTCTGTTGCCTGCACTGCGGCCTCGATTTCCCTATCGCCGGCTTCGCTGGTACCACTGATTCTCTCCCGCAGCTCTTCAAGTTTCCCTTTATGCCACCACCGACCCTGGGAATGGTCACAACTAGGTCTTATTTTCGGGGTAGGTCTTATATTTTAGCAATTCCCAAAAATGGTACTAGGTCTTAATTTCGGGGTAGGTCTTATTTTCGGGGAAACAGGGTATGTAGTGGTGCCTACTATTTCTTGCATGTCACTCATTAAGAAGTTACCACTACCGGCTTGTTTGAAATTCAGTTTCATCTATTCCTAAATTCATGTGCCAGGGTCCTTAAAGTGTGTCTTTACTTTGCCTATTATAGGCATAAGTTCACTTTATAGATGGTACAAAAAGCAAGCATAACTGGCCTTTGCTCCCTGTCACCCCAAGAAATACTTGATCCATCTGTTTATGGGAGAACACACGACAGTCCACTATGGAGCGTCATGTCTGGGGCTTAAGCACTTGGTGCTAGAGTGGCGAATCGTAGGCCCAAGCACTGTCATGTGTTGGTTTGAGCGGGCCATGCATATATCTGTTTAACCTTTGACTTTCTGGGGAAGTGGAAACTAAAGCTCACCACACACATTATAATCTGATTGAACAATTGCCTTTAAATCTACTAACAACTGTTGTGCAAGGGTCTGCTTGTTTGGTTACAGATTGATTGGATAGTTGAGGTCCTCATATTATAGAGGTTTGGTACGTCTAAAGTTGATTCTGAACGATTGAATGCTTATATTGTAATGTGTATAATGAGCTTTACACAGGCTGTTGGGGGCTCTAGCCACGGGATGAGGGGAGCACAGGGAAGACAAATTCACTGTATTTAGTGTGAACAAATTTTAAATATTTTTATTCAGGGTAAATTCCACCGAAAAGTGCCAAAGCTACGAAATTTCCACCCAACACTGAAATGAATGAGCACTGATTTGGTTGTTGGTTTATAAAGTGCCTGGCTTTGTTTTCACAATCCATACTAGTTTTGTTCTCAGTGTAGGGGCCACACAAATCTTTCAGCGTCAACCACATCAAGAGTCACATCTGTACCCCCTTTACCTCTGGAGAAGTAAATGAAGAGATCATGGTGTGGGATTGCCTTGATTTTAGTGCAGATGCTGTACGGTGTTACCAAATTGTTCAAATGATTCTATACCCCAACCAGGATGGCTCTTACCATGAAGATGTTGGGTACGGTGTTAGCGAGGGGCTGAAATCTAAGGCACTGTCCCTGGAGAAAGCTCGCAAGGAGGCTGTCACTGATGGATTAAAAAGAGCGCTTAAGTAAGAGAGAGAGGCTCCCGCTCCTCATATAATTCAGCTACGATTCTTAATTTTCCAGCTATTCTGTTGTACTGTCCTACCTGAACAATGCTTGGTATGATTGAGATATATATATCAGGAATTGTGATTTGCAGCTATGTTAAAAGAAACTTGATGTGAGAGAAGTACATGATCTGCTGTTGTTTTTCTTTCTGTAAATGTAATTTTTTTTTTTTTTTTGCTCTCACACCAACTGTAACACATATCTGGGTCAAGTATCAATAATATTGACTGCATGCATGATCATTACCATTAAATCAGAAATGACTTAAGCCAGGCACCAGCATTTAGAAGCTATGTTGGCAACGGTGACCAGTGATAACGAGACAGGGATTAAAGGGAATGCCAAAATGTAACAGAAGGGAAGGGGAAATTCCAATAGTTACACCTGTTCCAGTAACAACTGTGTAAGAGTTAACTTGCTTTGAAGACATTTCCTGTCACTTACTGTGGTGTCTCCGGGACTAATGAGACTGGGAACCAGGATCCCAGTCTTGGTGTTAATGGACGAGGGCAGAGGGGGGCAACAGCCAGCAGAGGGCAGCAGGGCACACAAGACTGAGAAGAGAGTGGCACCTCATGAGGGCACATGATCAAACAGCATGGATCGGAGAGTACAGGGAGGGAGGAGGGCACACTGCAGGCGGCAGCAGCAGGCAGTCAGATTTGCTATGAATGGCTTTAGTCAGCGGGTGACTGATCACAGCTCTACATTGTTAAGCAGATTCTGGGGGACTCTTCTGATATAAGTTCATGGTCGCTGCAGCAAGCATGAGCATGTAACCAAAGGGAATGCAGCTGACATACGTCATACTGAGCTGGCCAAGCTGCAGGCAGTTCTGTTCTGCTTCATGCCTTATGTCAGTTTAAGGAGCCTCCCTGTTTCTCTTTCAGATTGCCTGTGGAGAGTTGATAAACAACAGTAAATGTTATGATCTGCTGTGTAGTCTTGTACCCAACTCTGCTCTTCTTTAGAGCATATGTCACATGTCTTCTGTGACTGAATTTATCTTTTGCTGTTAGTGTTACTGTTTTATAAAAGATGTTTTACTACTATAAAACATAGTTTTTAACTCCCTTTGAATTTTGGTGTTAGGTGTTTTGGAAATTCTCTTGGCAACTGCATCCTGGACAAAGATTATCTCCGAGCTATCAACAAACTGCCCAAATTGGTGAGTGGTAATCAAGTTTGGCATTGTACCTGACAATTTGACTCCTGTTTTGTTCTGACTACAAACATATTGCTCACTCCTTGACCCCCTTTATCGGAATCGTGGCGGTAAACTTCTTTGAATTTGGATTTAAAAGTGGATTGGCGGATAAGTTGAAGAGAGTCATAAGGGAATTGGCCACACATTTTAATATTTGGTTGTTCCATCTACTAAAGTGAAGATTGTACATACTTCTAAAGTTATGTGGACTCACTTAACCGCCGCCCAGCCAGGCCGTTGTAAAAAAATGGCCGGCCGGGAGCTTCCTGGATGTAACAGGCCGTCAAGACTGCGTGTTAGCCCCACCGACTCACGCAGGAAACTGCTCGGATTTAAAAACAGGCACTGATGCCTGTTAACATACAAGCGATCGCTTGTATAACATGCCGGTATGTGCCGCCCCCTTCCCTCTGGTCCCGAGCTTCGCTGTGCCTGGTGTGAGCCCGCGCCTGCATGGGGGCTCTGTGATGGGATCACCGGGAGATCGGTACACAATCTCCCTCCGATCCACTCTTTGTTGTCGGAATGCGGAAGTGATGTATATTACATCACTTCCGCATTCTTGTGTCACTCTCCAGCTTCAGAACCTGGAGAGAAGCTGATGAAGCAAATTTTGGATCTACGTTGCTCCCTCCCCTCAAGTTTGTACTGCTTGCTACAACTGGGAGGTGGAAGGGGTTATGTCCTTAAATTTTTGGCTTTTAAATAATCATTAGGCCAGGATCAGAATAACAGCCTCAGAACATGCTCCTTTTTTATTACAAGTCAACAACAACAGTTCCTATATTTCTGTATCCACATGTTCACACAAGCTACCGTATTTTGCGGTCTATAAGACGCTCCGGACGATAGGATGCATGGCTTCTGTGACAGAAATTCTATGACAGAAATTCTGTCACAGAAGCTGCAGTTAGTGACTGCTGAGACAGGTGGCGCTGTCTCAGTAATCACACAGAGCAGACGAAGAACGACATTCTTCGTCTGCTCTATGGTGAGCTCCTATGGGGGACCGTGACGGGTCACGGTCCCCCAGAGGAACAGGGGGCCCAGAAAACCACGGCGGGGGGCGGACACGATCGCTGATGCCGCCGCCGATCGATTTAATACAAGGGATCTAACTAGATCCCTTGTATTAAACGAACAGCGGCTCCCACTGTACATTCAGCTTTGCTTGTCAGGAGCAGGGCTGAATGTACAAAAAGAAACTACTCGCCCGGCGCCCGAAACTGCATGTCCCGGGCGTCGGGCGATAGGTATTCGCTCCATAAGACGCAGGCACATTTTCCCCCTCCTTTTGGGGGAAAAAAAGTGCGTCTTATGGAGCGAAAAATACGGTATATTTTTATTGATCCCTTCTGCAGTGATTGGTTTGTTTCCTCATTTGTTCTGGTCAATAAAGAAGAAAGTTACTCCTATTATATTCCTTGTAAACATTATTAACAAGTCAATGCTTTCCAGCCTCCTCCTGATCTTAATGTAGCACAGACAAAGCGACAGGACTTTGATGCTTCTCTGGACAGGGCTCGATATAACAGTCTGCTACAAGAACAGAAACGTATGGGCCAAAATCATCCAGAAAGGGCTGAGCAGCAGCTGCCATCATTATGTGAACAGTCTCCTTGCAAACCACACCAAGAAGACAATAGAAGTACTATGCCAAAACCCAACTTCAGCGACTCTAGGTATGCTAATCTGCCCTCTGTCTGTGACATGGATTTCATGGGAGAGCTGCAGGGTTGACTTTCTAGCATCTGTCTGCTCTGGACTTACATGTTTCACCATATCGCAATGTGTTAGTATGTTAAATAGATGAAAGGTTTTCCATTTATACTGTAAATGGTATTGAATCTGTATTGACACTAATCATAGTCATTATGATATGGGAATTTAAAAAGATTGAAACCTAAAGTAGAACCAAACGCTAGGGGGCTGAAAAAGCAGCAGTACTCCAAACAAATAACAACGCACATTTAGAAAGCACAGCAATGTGTTTATCACAGCAATGTGCCAGCTTCAGGCGGCAGCTATTAAATACATAATTTACAAAAAGAAAAATCGCAGAGGAGAGCCTAATTAGGTGACTTGTCAAAGTCACATGGCTGGCTCTCCTTCCATCACGACTCTGATTTAGCCCTCATTCACACCTAAGCAACATCCAATATGCACCTTTTTTTTTAATGTGCGTACATACAGTCACGTTTTTTTGCGAGCCGATCGTGAAACATGGACGTGAATGGACTAATCCATGTAAAAATGTGCAAAAACGCAGCAAACGGGCGTTTTTGAGTGTTTCTATTGAAGTTTATGGAACCAAGAAGAGCACAATCTGCTAAAAAGAAGCTCTCATGTACTGGGGGGTGTTTGCTACCAGGGACAAAATGCTCTAATGTGACCATGGCCATAGAAATTAATGGAAATTTTTCTTTAGCGTATTTTTGGGCTACAAAAGGCTTAATGAGGGCTTAAGCAGAGAGAACTGTGTGCGGTACCTGAGGATAGGCACCACAGCCTACATTTTATGAGCAGGCTATAAAACAAGGGCCAGGGTATGCATAGCCAATCAAAGGAAGTGACATCTGCTCTCTGTTTATAAATACATCACTCAGTGGAACAAAAGGTAAAAACTTTTAAATCACATTATTATGTTAAAGTATTTGTGAGAGTTTAGTGCTTGAGTTTATATCTACTTTACAAATATACTCGTCATTTTTTTCTTGCATCTTTTTATCTGCATGTCCTGCTTACAAAATCCCTATGACTTAGTAAAATGACTGAAACTTCTGACATTAGCACCATTGCAGTGATTCTTGGGTAACAGTAGCATTATGGCTTTTACTCATTTTAGGATGATACGTATAGACAGCTGTGATTAGAGGACATTTTGGGAAGTTTCTGCTACAGACATCCATTCATAAAAGATGCTTTATTTTCATTCCTTTCAGCTCCGGGTTGGGTTCGTCAGTTTCAGTTCTGCAGACAGACATGGACGCCACCCTTCAACGCAAACTGCGGCAAAAGCAGTTGCAGCAGAGATTCCGTGAGGAGATGGAGAAGAAACAGAATCCGAGTGCTGCAACATCTCTAGACGGAGAACACGGAGGTAAGAACACCAGACTTACTGACCATTGTGGAGGAAACTGAAGGCTGGTTTTCTTCTTGTTATAAAATTAATGATGCAAAAATAGGTTTATGGAGGAAGTGGACCCTGGCAAACAAAAAACTGTAAGCCAGCACAGGATAACGCCTCCCACTACCAGCATGCTTCAATTTTGCAGCAAAGCAGTACTGAGAACATGATCATAAACACTGGTGGGGGACCAGTGTCCCGCAATGGGCTCCATGAAATGGATTTTATGGTGTGTGCAAACATCCTATTAAAAATTCTCATCCATTAGGAAACATAGGAAATCTTTAACCTTCAGGACATTCAAATGCAGTCCAACTGAAGGGTGGGCACACAGACAACAGGCCCAAGAAGAAAAAAAATTCAACAGAACTAGGGAGTGCCTGCAGCTCAAAGAACTGCCTGAAGCTGGCATCAGATGAAGTCGAAACGTGCACCTGGTAGAAGTTTAACCACATGTGACTAGAAGACAAGGTGGCAATGTGTGTTTTGGGTCATTTACCTGTTGGAGGCCCATGATGTCCGTATAAAAGCTTTCTGACACTGGGGAGTACATTTTTTCTCCATAATTCCATAATAGTCTTGATCTCATTTTGCCCTGCAAAGATTCAAGGCACCATGTGCCAGATGCAGCATAATAAATCAAAGCCCCCACCATGTTTCACAGTAGGTACTTTTTCTTTGTAAGCGTCATTTTTTTCATCTGTGGACATAGAGCTGATGTGACTTGCCAAAAAAGATCCAGTTATGTCTCCTCTGTCCAAAGGACATTCTCTCAGAAGCTTTGTGGCTTGTCAATATGCATTTTAGCAAATTCCAAAGTATGTTTTTCTTTTAGCAGTGGAGTCCTCCTCGGTCTTCTTCCTTTAAGTCCAATGTTTCTCAAAAAGCCAAAGAAATGGTGTGATCAGACACTGATGTACCTTTGGAGTTTAGCTTGTATGTCTTTGGAAGTTTTCCCTGCCTCTTTATTGCCATTCACATTATCCCTCTGTTTAATCTGGGGTTGACTTTCCTTTTACGGGCTATGTGCTGGGAGGCCGCCTACACTCACATGGACTAAAAACATCTTAATATCTGAAACTGTAGTCACAGGAACGTCAAGCTGCTTGGAGATGGTCTTATAGCCTTTACCTCTGACATGCCAGTCAATTATTTTCTTTCTGATCTCCTCAGACAACTCTCTCCTTTGCTTTCTGTGGTCCATGTGTAGTGTGGTGCACATGATGAAACCAAACACCTGAGTGATTACTTTTCTCCCTTTAAATAGGCTGACTGAACAGTTTAAATAATCACTATGATCCAAATATTTATAATATTTTTTTTTTTTAGGGGTACCAACAATTCTGTCAATGCCATTTTAGAATATATTTGTAGAATAAGCAACAACATATCTTTTTACACTTGGCTCAGGGGACCAAATGTATGTAGGTACGAATGAGACATATAGGGACAGCCCTTTGCCACCATTTTGCATTAGTGGCTTCTTCCCTGCTATCTCTCTGGCTGAAGCGTCTCTCCAAATGAGATCTGAATAGCGTGTTTCTGAAAATATCCACCGGCATATTATCACCATCTGACAGGAACTTACAGAAACCCTACAGCACTTGCATACCATGCAGATCTGAATGCATGACTGGTGGGATAGGAGGTAACTCTCCTTGCAGTCTTTCCTCTTGCATCATCATGCAGCCTGCAGTCACAATACACCTGGACTTATACTGTCAAGGAGTATACTTCTCAACACAGAGAAGGAAGGACCCGTGACTTCACCATACCAGTCTGAGGTAAAAAAAAAAAGGTATGTATAGTGTGATTTGTTTTGTTTCTTCTTTTTTTTTTTTGGTGGGAGGGCTTTGGGGCGGAAGGGGGGAGGTGGAGTTATTCGTTTTATATTTATAGCTTGTTTGATTCTCTTTCCATTATAAACATAGTGCTCTGTTCTCATTTTTTTTCATTTCAGGAGCATCGAGTGCTCCAAGAGTCCCTCCCTTGAGTCACAGCACTCCAACAATTGCAGGATCTGCAAAGGTTATGGCAGCCCTGGAAGAGGAGTACCTAGCAGGTGAGGTGCCCTGGGAGCTCCCGAGGTCCTGAGCTATCCAGGTCCTCTGTCTGGGCACTTCAATCGTATCTCTTTGTTGATTTGGAAATCTTCTGGTCCCTTCTTTATTAAAAAAAAAAAAAAAAATTTTTATTTTTGTATTTAAGTATGGCCTTGTGAAGCGCAGAACTCTTTTACCGTTTTGTAGTTGGTGCTTATTCAGTAAATAATTTTACCACATATTTTATGTCATTTCAGATGTTTCTTTATGAAAACTGCGTTTAGACTAAGTTTAAGAAGATCACTTTAATAGCAGGAATTTCATGTTTGTCAAAGAAAAATACAAACTAGTGACAAATGTGTTGACTGAGTCACCTTAACAGAGGGCCGAAATCCTCACTGCAGTGTTTTTAGAGCGCTAATTAGTGACCTCATGACGACAGCCATGTGATCTCCAACGACGTGCTGCTCTGTGTAAAACCTGCAGCAAGATGGGGCCTGGAGCAGTTGCATTTAGACTAGCAGTAGGAAAGCTGGGTGTAGTAAAGTTTTGGATCTATCCACTTTAACTACTTGATGGCCGGGGTGTTAAACCCCCTTCCTGTCCTGGCCATTTTTCAGTATTCAGCGCTGCGGTAATCTGACATTTATTTCGTCATACAACGCTGTACTTAAATGAAGTTTATACCATTTTTGGGGGGACACAGTGCTCTCCTTTAGTGGTATTTAATCACCACTGGGGTTTTTATTTTTTGGAAAAATATAAAAGACGGGGTCACGTCGGGTAAATAGACACCAAACATCTCAAGCATTAAAATTGCATGTGCCCGCAAAGTCGCAAAAAAACGACCATACCCAAAATTGGCCATAGGCGACAATTTAAAGTCATTTACCGCTCATCAGTTTACTGTTATCAGTGATTGATGGCCCTAGAATAGTTGCTCGCACTCTGACGTTCGCAGTGATATGTAACGTGTGGCACAATTGTCATTTTTGCGCGTAGGCGCATTGACGAATGTTTTCGTGTGTACATGGGGTCGGGGGACCCCTTATGTCACCAAGGGACCCCCAGAGAAGCTGATGAAGCAGAGATCTGCTTCACCAGCTTCTCTCCGGCCTCTGTAGCCGGGAATGACAGCTGAATGCGGAAGTTATGTAATTGACATCACTTCCTGCATTCTGACACTGGAGAGGAGCCCAGATGGAGTTTGTGTTCTGATCTCCCTCTGATCTCCGGTCACAGAGACGCTGTTCCGGCCCCGGGCTCACATCAGGCATAGCGGAGCTCGGGATCTGTCCTGAGGGGGTGGGGTGTAGATTGGTACCAGTCTGCTAGATTCACCCCTTATGTATGATGGTAGCCATGTACAGATTACAAAATGTACATTATTTCTGTTGTGGTGATAGGATTTATCCTTAATTTCAGTCTTGGTGACAATGATCACCAAGACAAATGCCGAGGGTGAACCTCTCTACCTTAAATCTAACCCGTTAAGCTGAACTGCAGACAAGAAGCTGAATACACAGCTGAAATAAATATAAGAGACCTTTTATATGCTCATGTAAGCTTTAAATAAAGCTTTCCTTTTTCATGCCTTTTTTTTTTTTTAGAGCTAGTGATGTCATCACTGGGGCTTTGTACTTCTCTTTGCAATGTAGGCAGATCATGACTAGTGGGAGGGAGCTGTTTATAGCTTCCTGAAAATATCAGAGTCAGAGTTCCTAGGCAGGCTACATTTGCATACAGACGGATTTGTCGACATCTGATGCTGAGCCTCCATCATTGAAAGGGCTGAAATCTAATTAATGAAAGTAGCAGGCCAGGGACAGTCCGGCTGGAGAGGAAAGCGCTAGATGATGGATGTCCTCCATCAAGGAAATGAGACTGGCTCTATCTGTCTTGCTGCAGCTTTTAATGCACACTGAGAGGAGCTCTCAGAGGAACCTGTACAACTGCATGACTAACAGGCTGGAAATCAGTTTTAACCCCTTTGCTGCCCCCACCTCCCTATAAGGCATATGTCAGCAGCAGCGCTGACATATAAACAGATTCCAAGTTGCTATTGTAGTTGGGAATTTATTTACATTGTCACGGTAAGCTATGGGCTTTCTTGTGGAAGCGATTTTGTAAAGCTGCCAATCCCTTCCACATGTTGCCTTAAAGTGACGCCCCTACCACCACTGTGTGTCCCAAGATCCCCAGTCCCTTCTGGGTACCCGAGATCCTAATGAAAGGTGTCAGGATGGAGAGCGGCGGGAGACCGGAGAACATCTGTTCACTGATCCCACTTCTGAAGAATAACACCAGAAGCGATTAGCTCTGATCACTTCCGGGTTCAGAATGTCATACCCTGGCCGGGGATGAAGCTAATCGGGTACGCTCTGTACTCATTCAGCTTCATCAGTATACAGAGGTGACATTAGGGCAGCGGTTCTCAACCTGTGGGTCCGGACCCCTTCGGGGGTCGAATGACAATTTGCCAGAGGTCGCTGGGAGTCTCCCGCTATTGGATAGCAGCTCCCGGCTGCCCGGGAGAGAAACACTTTCTCCCGAAAGGTTTAATCTGCTCTTTCGAGCAGAGTAAACCTTTCGCTGTGATCGTTTTTAAAAAAAAATTATTTCTGACATCGGAGCCCCGGCCGCCGTAAGTCAGAAAAAAATAAATAAATCCGCATTGGAATGCATAGCTAGATTCCTATTGGCTATTTCACTTTGCAATAGCAAACTAGCTATTGCACCCGCCCACTGCTGCTGTCAATCAGCAGAGGGGGACCTGCAGTTCTCCATCAGGTCCCCATCTAGTGATTATCATCATTATTAATAATAAAAGCTGACACCTTCGGCTTGCATTATATGGTTTGCCATTTTAGCTGTTACAACAGTGGTTCTCAACCTGTGGGTCGCTGTGTGATTTCTGCTGTGCTCGGTGAGAGTCCTCCTCAGCCCTCTCCTAGCGCAGCAGTGTCAGTTCTCCTGACACGCCGCCAGATGTCGCGGCAGCAGCCGTGTCAACCCTAAATTTTACCGTTGGGGGTCACCACAACTTGGCAAATGTTACCAAGGGGTCCCGGCCCTAGAAATGTTGAGAACCACTGCATTAGGGGGTCTCATAGTCCCTTGATGTCTCCTTAAAAAGAAACTGTCACTTGCATTATGCTGTCACACATCTGTCAGCCCTCTCGTGAAACAATAAAGTTTGTAAAAAGAAAATAATGATCTAAACAATAAACGTCAGGTGCTCTCACGCTCGAAATCAACGATTGCACCACACACATTGGATATGCTGACAAGCACACCTGAGTGAGAACAGTCATTTTAAGGCTATCATTCATAGTTACCTCTAAACTGATGAGCTGTAGAGGATTTTAAAGTGTCACCTAAGAAACATTTGGAGTTTTACAGTTGTGTGGAATGTTGAAGCTTGACATTTTGGGTCTCTAATTCCTATTCTTTTCGTTTTACCAAAAAAAATGGTTATTGTATTTGCGAGCACTAAAATTGAGTGTATTTTTTGCTGAAAATTAGTTTGATAAATAGTTGCGCTAATATTGTGTGACATAAAATATTGCAACTGTCACCATTTTATATTTATATCATCTTTTGGGGATTTTAAGTAATCTTCATTTTAACGTGTGGGGGGAAAAAAAGGACACTGGCAATGAAAGGGTTAAAGAAAAGACACCTGGAGGCTGCCATTGCTGACTTCGCATTTTGGCTGTCGTACTGATGCCTCCATTGCTGTAATATTATCACTCTAACCTAGAACATGTATGCATTTCTGATATACCTTCTTGTGGGTGACTCGGAACATACTGAACCATAACAGCCAGGAAACTTCACATTTTCCACATAAACACAGTTTTCACCTAAATGCTGGCTGTAGACCGCACTATGGGCCCAATCACACGGGTGCGCACGCCTGTGCAGAGACCTGCACCTAGGAGGGAGCACTGTCTGCATCCAAGCGCAGGCACCCGGACCTGCACGAATGTGTAGCTTCAGGTCACCGTGCATAGGCAGGTACAAGTGGGAGCAGGTCTCTGCGTCGGCGTACACACGTGTGGATGAGCCCTATTATATATCTGTTTTACAGGGATCTGGAACTATAACTCCCAGCCTGCACTGCCAGTCAGACCACTGTATATATCAAAGTATGAAACCAACCTGAAGATAAATTCAGTAGTGCAACTTTTTTGGCCGTATGACCCTTTAAAAGGTCCTGCGCCAAAATAAAAAAAAAAGCCATGTTGCGGTAGCATCACCAACAACAGATTCAGGTCGTTCCTAATTGTGCCATTCGAAGAATCTGCTGCTTTGGATTCAAAAGGAATTATCGCCATTTTACAAATGAGAAAACTGGCGGTAATTAAGACCAACTCTGTTCCGGCATACGGAGAACTGCCAGCGCTCAGAGAGGGTCATGTATGTACTGGGAAGCTGTCATCAACGTGTCAGACTGTGACAGCTTAGTCACGGCCTAGTGTTCAGGCATTTCCAAAAGTGGGTTTTCTGATGTCTTCCATCTGCACACACAAGTGCACCATCTGGAGGAGCTCCCATAATCTTTTCTGTCAGCAGGAAAGCAGACATCCCGTATACTGAAAGATGTGCAGCTATAAAAGACACAAACTGGATGAGATTTGTAAAACTTGCCACAAAATCATACAAAACTGGATCGGGTTGAGGCAGATGAGTCCAAAGCTGAACTCGCAACCTCTATTGCTCAAAGGTGGCACCACTGCAATATAGAACCGATCCCTACAACAACTTCCACTTGTGTCTGACCAAAAAGTGATCCAAAAAAACAAAAGATTTGGTGTATCTGTGTTAGTGATCACAGTAAGACATGTGGAACCCCCGGTATGTAAAGCTGACCATACACTGCTCAAATGTTCTAATTTTAGGCTCAATGCTGCTTAAAGGGTCTTGAATTCTGCCCAAAGGTTGGATTTTACCCTAATTCATTTTGGAAAATGTTTTGCATCTTTGGCCAGGTTTAAAGTTTACAAGCTGCAATAATTCAATACACAATACTAGTTAGAACATATGTTTAATTTTCTTATAGTAAATAGCTGTTACTCCTAAAAAAAGAAATGTCGTTTGTGCAGTACATGGGTGCAGCCGTATTTGCTCACTGTATATTCTTGCTTAGTAGTTCTGCATAGCAATTCTGTTTTTCTGTTCCTGCTTCCTAATGCAAGTCTTCCAGTCTGCTTATACTGGCTAAAAACAGTACACTTTATACTGCATGTGGTTTACCCTTTAATTGATCTTTTTTCGGTAGATTTTCTGGCAAGTTATAGATTTTGGTGCTTGCAAGTATCTGTGATAATCTTCAAATCTTTTCTGTGTCCCTGTCGATTCCAGGCTCACGCTGCTGTCCAAGTCGGCACTAAGCACTGCCTTCTCCTAATGCTAAGCGCATTCAGTAATCTATTGCCACAAACCCAGTGGCCAGTCTAGGTCCAGCCTATGGGCACGCAGAGTAGGGGCATAGGGTTAGCTCCAGGAGGGGGTGGACTTTGGCAGCAACTTAACAAAAGGTAAGGCTCAGTATACAGTCCAGGCCTGGAATCAAGGGCTCTCTAGGGAAATAAGAATTGATCATAAGAGAAGCACAGGTACCCTGGGTGGCTATAATCCAGCAGTGTTGTAAGCTTAGCCTGTTTTCTGGAGTTGACAGCTGTGGTTTATCACAACGTCTTCAGCACAATAAAGTGGGATATCTCTGGAAGTTGTACTTATGGGTTATGCACTAATCCTAGAACAAACCCAAAGTCTGTGTGAAGGAATACGACATGCCTGCTCAGCACACATACACCCACTGAGTGGGACCAGAGAACTGTCTGCAAAGTGTTTGATTCCTGGTTCAGTGTCACATGTGAAGATTATATAATGAGGGTTCAATCTGATTGTATGAAATAGAATATAAAATAACTTGTCCAGTGATCCAATCCTGTGTTTGGCTGCAGACGATCCGGAGCTCTGGGACATCCCATTGGATGCTGCAGAGGTGGAAAATTTCTCCAATGGCAACATCCCATCTGCTACACCTTTTGGGCATCATCAGATGATGACACGCAGCAAGACTCCTCAGCGCCCAGCCGACCAGCGCCAGCCAATGCGACCGACCTCATGGAACCAACCACACGGAAACCTGACAGCACAGCAACGTGCAGGTACCGTCCATCTACATTACTGACAAAAATGAAACCCGTGTTCAGAAGGCAGATGTTAGAACGTCAGTTTAAAAACAAAACTCTCTGAATAGCCGCTGGCCTGTCTGTACCGGCTTCACTCAAAAGCTTGACATTCTCTGAGCCTGCAATCATTGCTCCGGGGAGTTTCAACTCTGCCTCCAGACAGTGTGCAGTGCTTGAAATGACCCTCGCACTGCAGATGTGTCATCTCTCTCATTGCAAAATAGATTTAGAATTTTCCTAAAGGACAACTTGACTTTCAGTAAATATACTTCCCACCCCCCTAGTGTAGAATGTACACTGAAATACCTTCATCTCCGCTCCCAGCCAGGTGCTGCATTGTTTTTCCAGAAAAAGACATCCTGGCTGGTTCCTTGGAATGGGGGGGGCACACAGGCTTAGTTGTTCATTGTGTAACCATTTTGGGGTGGGGGGAATCACACCATGGTCCGTTTGTGTCCAAAAAGAGTGAATCTTGTTACATTTGGATTGCCAGCTTCTGCTTATATAAATTAATTAATATAATTGTAGTACTTGGCTTAACAAGGATATACCTTTGAGGAGTAAGTGATGCATAGATGATAAGTAGTTTGTGGTGTTTAGCTATAATGGGATAATTATTGGATACCCAGCAGGAGAACAGGAAGGTGTAAGCCCAGGGAGGTTCCCAGGACAGCAGCCAGACCACCTATCTCCAATAGCTTGAATAATGGGGCAGCTTCAGACTAACAGGGTTGTTCACAAAAGGGTGAAGAGTTTGGAGAAGGCAGGAGAAGAGAACAATCTAGGACAACATAGCTGACCTGGGAAGTGAGCTGAATTGGAGAATGTTTCCAGATCAGCTATTCTGGCCTAGATTGTTCACTTCTCCGGCCTCCTCCAAACCCTACACCCTTTTGTGAATAACTCTGTATGTCATAAAAGTTTCAACCCAAAGCAGACACTTGTTACATTCATGTAGGATGTCGTGGTTAAGTGTAGATTTTGGGCGATGTAATAAATGCTAGGCAGGAATTATAGTTGTATAAACGTATTGTTGGCCGATATCCTGAGTGCGGTGTATTGTGACACTACGTCCTCCGAATCCTCCTGGACAGCAGAGATGTCGCTCTGCCATTGACAGAACAGTGTCTAGTTCAGAGGAAGCAGCACACTCACTTTTTATCTGAAGCTGCACACTATAGTACTACTTTTCTGCCACAAGATGCCGATGGTCTTCTGGGTTTAATCATCAGCCTCGTGTGTCTTAAAAAAGGTAAAATAATGAAAGCAGGCAAATAAACTATCGAGTTCTTGTCAGATTAACAAATGTATATTGACGCTGCTAAATTTGGTCTGAGAAAAACCATCTCTAAAGAACAATGCTCTTCAAGGTTTGGATAGAGAAGGGGTAGGCATCCTCTGCACTTCAGCTGTGGTGAAACTACAATGCTTCATGAGATGTTTAGTTTCACCGGTTGGAGTGCTGAGGTTGCCTTCCCTCCGGGATAAAGTGGTGAAATGGTTTCACATTTTTATACCTGACTCTGACCCCACGGGAAAGGTTTCTCCTCACTTCCTGAGCAATCACCAGGACAGAAAGTGAGGGTCAATGTCCCTACTGGGAAACATAGACTAATACTGATAGAGGTTCTCACCCTCTGGCCAAAACAAAAACTACAAAAAAGTGTTTTGGTTTTTATAGCTTCTGAAGTGTTTTTGGGAATGAATGAAGCAGATTTTTCCTCCTTGAACATTCTTTTCCTGTCTTTGTATAGATAAAAGCCCTTATCGACAGAACAACGTTGGTGTTGTCATGAAGAAGAGGAAACTGGAGCCATCTTGATCCCTGACCTTTTATGGCCTTCCTCAGACTTCCCTATTGAATGCTGGATGGTGACTGGTAAAGTTCTGTTTACAATAAGCAGGTCATCCGTGATCTATACAAACACATGTATCAGAATGTTTCAGATGCAAGCGCAGCTCTTTTATCCCGGACAGTTTTATAATAATTATATCATTCATTTCATGTCCAATAAAACATTTTATTCTATACTATTCAATGTTATTTGTATGACCCCCCCCCTGGTTGTGGCCTCGTATTTCCTGCAGCCTATTCTTACTGATGTAATACCCTTCACTGTCACGTTACACTAGGTAAAGCCTAACAAGTGGGGAAGAGCTAACCTTTCTGTCAGGTTCTTTCACTGTGACCCCACTGGGTGGGGAGGTTTTCCATCACTTTCTGTGACACCCAAGAAGGGAGGTGTGTAGTGGTTACCAGACAGGTAGGGGGTACATACACAAACATTGTCTGATGTTCTCCCTTTCTCTCTCTAAACTAAGAATTGTTTTGGTCCTTGTCCCCATTGTAGACATTTTCCATTGTTTGCTGTTCTGACAGGAAGTGAGGGGAAATTTCCCAATGGGGATAAATGGCAATAATAACCAAAGGCTCTAACCCTTTCTTGTCCAACACAAAATAAAACAAGTTTTGTCTGTTTGTGGTGTTGTGCTTTAATATAATCTGATAGGGCTTGCATTTAAAAAATACTTGTACATGACACAGGATGTAGTTCAGGTACAGGGGGTCATGCTTTTGCCATCAGGAGTTTGGACACCAGCAAACAAAGCTGTATAGTAGCCGAATATAGACCCTCCGACTCCCATAATGCCTCTGGTTTAGATAATGTCTGTTCTTCTACCACATCTTCTCTCTGCTCTGAGAGGAGCAACCCACTTTGTCCTGTTTTTATTAAGACGTGTTCTAGTTGCTGCAAAGCCACAGGGGCTCACCTTGCAACTTTCCAGGACAGCGGATTGTCGGCATAGCCTTGCTGTGAGGAAAAGGTGAGGCTGGCCTGTAATGTGTCCTTGGTGCACTGGCCTCTGCTGTAGGTGCTCTCCTAGATACCCTGAAATGATGAAGATTCCTTATGGAGTTTGCCTATCGGAGGGCAAAGACTGCTTGGATGGGGCATATCCCCTGGAATCTTGCCTGTTCTCTCCATTGTATTGGTTGGAACTGCAGGGTAGTCCAAGGCCACCACTGTGATACGTTAGGGCATAACCTTTATGTAGGCCTGGGTGTGCTTTCGTTACTGTCCCCTAGGGGGTGTGATGTAGTCAGTCACTTTCAGTGGCAGAAGATGCAACACCATTTTTGAATTTGCCACCATTACTCTGAGCCTGCGTAGCCTGTATCTCACGTATTACACGGCTCGTGGGTGCAACTTTTTTTTTTTTAACTGTGCGTGGACCACTCTGCACTTTACACCTTCTCTCCTGAACACACCCTATGAGCTTTAGGATGTGTATTGGGCTCCTGCTGCAAATTCACAGACAGCATTAAATTCTTCCCCCCTCTCCCCCCGGTGCATATGAGTACACCGTGTAGGAATCCATCATTTTCATACTTTAGTATGGTGGATCATAAGCGCAATGGCAGTTCCAGGATGGTTTGCAGAACAGACACAGCTGCAAGAGAAGCTTACCAGATTATGGCTCCTGCCCTGTGTGTCGTGCACAGCCCAGGTGGCATTCCTCAATGGTCAGTGTCTAGACCCCGGAGAATGATCTATTTACCCCAGGGTGTATGGAGACCTCTGCGGCAGGTGAAGTAGCCGGACAAGGCCCTATTAACGTCCAGGTTCAACTACAAATTGATCAAGTTTATTTCTGGGTACAAGGACCTTCAAGCCTTCATAATGCAGTCTCCGATTACTTTGGGATTTGTTTAATTTGTTCTATCCCCCCAAAAAACAATGTAGGCTGTTACAGCAATTCCCAGATCTTCTGTTACCACCTTGCTTCTCATTCACTGGTTTTAATGGCCTGTCCTATAGTATAGACCTACACTATTGAAAACATCTGTAGGCATGCTGCAATCAGCCCAGTAGCCATAAGAGAGTACAGTGGGGCTCCCCCCCCCCCTCTGTATTTATTATCAGACATGTTGTGACAGCAGTCTATAGGCTCGGAGTACACAGCAATGCCTTAGGTACTCACAAAACCTGGAGAGCTGGCAGCAGGTGAGGTTTAGATGGCTGGAAGTTGGTAGCAGTAACAGATTGAAGTTCCACATGGTTTATTTTAGAGCAGCCGCTGCAATGGGGAGATTGCACTGTAGGGTTGGAAAGAGTGCATGTGAAACCCCCACACAGCAGATGACACCCGTGCTTGGTCACCCATTGTTAACACCTTCTAAATACATCTATGTAAAACAGCACAAATATCTGACATGTGTTCCTGCTGCAGCCTCTCACCTTGTGACTTGATCCAATGTTGCAGTCTGATCACTGGGGGAAAGGAGACTGAGGAAATGCTTCCTCCTGCCTGCAGCAGACTGATATCATCTCAGCCTAGGCAATAACACTGGACTGGAGCTCAAGGATGGCTTTTGAAATGAAAGGGTGAAGCTTTTCTGATAAATGACATGGTTGCTGTATATTGTGACACGTCGGGAATGTATTCAAGCAGACCTGTAAAGTTATCGAAATGTCCACTTTAACAGCCTTGGTCTCTTCCCACATTTCCCCCCCCACAAGTAGAATTACATGACACATTCATTACCACCAACATAAAATAAGGCTTCCTTTATTAGTTTTTTTTTTTATAGCAGGTCTACAGAGGCGATAAAAAGAGAAAAGTGCAAATTTGTACAGAAAGATGCAGGACAAAAAAAAAAAGTGCAAAACGGAAAATTCACAGCTCCAGGGAATCCCACAATCTCATTTTATTCTCATACAGTGTTAAATATCAGGAGGAAAACACATTTCTAAATGCAGGAAAAGGCTCGTTTGGGAGGGAAGGTACAAGAGGCAGAAGAAGTGTAAATACCTTGTAAAGAGTTCAGTAGCATTTATTTATTTTTTTTATTGTGTCCACAGGAAAGAAGAAAATAAATCCGTGAAAATAATGCAAAGCATGCACAACTTAAATGGGAAATAAGACAAAAGATCTCACACTTGATAAACTGGGGGAAAAAAACAAGATATAAAATATGTAAAATAAATATAAATCTGCTGCCAAGTGTGCAAATCCCGTTAGAATTCCTCTGTCCAGCTTCCAGACACCACCGAGCCCTGCGACCACCACTTGCAACACCTGACCTACCCCAGAAACGGTTTGGTCAGCCCACAGTTTCCACAGCTGCCTCACCACCTCCCAATGGGGATTCTGCTGACTGCAAAAGCAGGAGAAATCCAATATTTACTTTTATTTAAACACTTTCGGTTTACCAACTGTATGGGACCGAATGACGAGTCCCCAAACTACATCTTACAGCTTTATACAATCATCAGAACGAACGGCAGACAACCCAAATTGTTCCGCTGTAGGAATACAGTCTCTACGTGGAGCCAAGGACCCTCCAGCCTGGGGTACAAGTGAGCAGGACATGTATGATTTTCTGATTTACCATAAATCTGCTTTTATTTCCAAGAACTCTTCCCAGTTATGGATCTGAATGATGCCAGAAAAACCAGCACAAATAATCTGACGACTAAGTGCCAGACCGACCTGAGGGAGGAGGGGCAACATCGAACATTGCACTAGGATAGCTTTCAAGAATTAAAGTTCTAGGTGAAATATACTGAGACACATGACAGAGCCTACTGCTTTTTTCCATCTGAAAAGCATCTACTCTACACTGCAGGCTGTCTGACCACTTTGGTGTAAACTTGGAAACAACTGTGCAACGGGACAGAGTTAATACTGTTTGCAGGTTATATTTATATCTTTTCTAAAAGGTGCCTTAGAAGAGGCGTTCCCGGGTAGATTCCAGGATTCCCTCTTAAATACCTTTTTAAGACAGAAACAACGCACTAAGTAGACAGCGAGGTCCTTCTGCTCTCATACCCCAAGACAACATCACAGCTTCTAGAACAGAAATCTTATTGTAACCCATTTACTGCCAGAAAACTGCAAAACCAATCCCTCACTAAGAAGAAAACAGACCATTTTGGAGGTGACCACCTCACAGCAGTCTGCTGAGTACTTCCTCATTCACTTCTACCTTCCAGCCAAAGCTCTAAGTCACGTCACGTGGACAAGATGAGACACTGCAATACAAATCCACCACGTATTTGTCACATACACCAGACCCAACAACTGCACTTCCTTCCGCCTCCCTCTGGACCTGCCAGCTCGCTACGTCAAGTTTTACTGAAAGCAGACAATACTTATCTGTTCCCGCTGAGGGAACTGAAACATGAAAAGAGAGGTGCAGCCACAAACCGTCTCTCCCCTCCTCGGAAGGCCCAATCTCTCTCAAGGCACCAGATAACCGTAGGAGGACAGATTTGGGTGCAAGTTCTGTACAATTTTACATTCACATTAAAACCAATAAAAAGACAGGACAGAGCCAAATGAATTTATTTTTATTAAAGTGACTGATGATGAGATCGGAGCGCGAAGTTCTGGTTTTGCCTGTAACCCTCTTTAACATTCCGCTATTTTATTATCAGAACTACTAATGTTGTCCAACAACATAAATATATTATATCACAGTGTATCCACATCATAACTGATGGCAGAGTATTGTCCTCACCGAACTTTTGTTTTTTTCTCAATTACTTTTTATATATTTATATATATTTATATATTTACTTTAATTCATACAAGTATAATGCTGCAGTCGATAGCCGTTAAAGAGTTCTTAAATTGAAAGCATTAATGACCTATATACCGTAAGAGCAGAGAAGAGAGTGACCCCCATCAAAACAGGGTCTAGACCTCCCCCGCTCCCGTCTCCTGACTCCCTGAATGTGCTTTACGGCCGTTGCACACGATTGCAGGGTGCGATCACGACATCCTTTTAGATGGAACAGGTTCCCGACTCCTCAGATGGAGAAGCAGGGACAGAAGCATATATGCGAGAGACAGGAGTAACAGCAATGTGGAGCTTGTGGTGGCCGGGAAGATGTTGTGGAACTCTCCCCCTCCTGTGCTCCCCTCAGTTTTGCAGTACTTTTTGGGGGTCTCCTGCTAGGTAGTCCTCAAGTTGGACCCCTGAGGGTTACTGATTGATTTCTGAAGGTTGCTGATATTGAAGTTCTGTAAGGAAGTAGTCACAGTTGGCGGGAACTGGTTAATGGGCTGGGAAGATGGTGGGAGTCCAGGACCACTCCACTGCCCTTGGAAGGCCGCGCCAGGGAAGCCATACTGCTGAGGGGGGCAGACGCCTTTGGGGTACTGAGCCAGGGAGTTGGCTGAGGCTGTAGGCATGGAGACTGGAACCCCAAGGGACGGAGGCAAATTCACACACAACTGTCCAGGAGCAGAAAATTTCCGAGCCATACCAGGACCCTGTAAAATAAATAAGAGACTCTTAGAAATGTATCCACCACATAGCAAACATATACCGGGAATACAGAACCTCTTTTCGGGCCGATCTTATGTTACGCTTGCCTGGAATAACTGGATTTACACCTGGAATACATCAATGTAGTCTGGTTTTTTTTCAATGCTGTCCTTTGCTTCAAGTGGCTGTAAATCCAAAATGTTTTTTTCTCTAGATTTGGACAGTTCAGGGAATGTGTCCTGTCTGCTCAATGTCCAAACACACAGCAGGAAGTGTGAGGAAGTCTCTCCAAACTGAAAGGACGGGGGGATTTGTCCTCAGCGGAGGTTACAATCCTTCCCAATACAAAAAATAAATATAAAAAAAAAAAAACAGGAGAATTTCCCTTTAAATTTCATAGCGGTAGGGAAGTGGAAGGTAGGGACGTTCTATACCGTGGGCAAGACTCAGCTGCGTTTATAAAAAGGGTCTTAAAAATTTAAATTTAGATAACAGCACCACGATACTGAAAACATTTCTAATGTGACAGGGAGGCAAGCAGGATGTCTCAACTCACTTCATAGCTGGGGTGTCCAGACATCTTGCTGCTTTTTTTTCCAGTCAGGTTCATGGCGTCCCGGGCCCAGTTATCAACAAGCTTGTGCAGATCGTCCGTGAACATTCCTTTGCAGCTGGAGGATACAGGGGCTGTGTTGGTCTGCGGGGTCGGAGCAGTGGAAGGGGCAACTGTATTTGTGCTGCTCGTCCCTGAAACAATGAAAAGAAACATTCAGGACCAATGACACAAGGGTTCAGATACTGACCATGCAGCCCTTTCACATCCTTGCCCCTAAGGTGTAACCAGAAGGGCCAAACAAAACTAATGTTATTACACCTTTTATACTCTGCAGCTTCACACCAATACAAAGGCGACAGGGGGCCCCAAATTCACCAGTGCTCATTATATGGAGGACATTTATCAAACTCACAGAAAATTGGCTAATCTTCCAGTGATTAAAATGTAATTTTGACAATTCTTTCTGTAAAATGTGCGTGTATTCTATATAAGCAGTTTCGAAAATATAGATCAATGCACTCCGGGCTAAAAAGCCTGCACAACTTTTATAAATGTCCTATGGGGTAGAATTCCAGGGCTCTACCTGTGTATATTAGAACAAGTGCAATGTAGTGTTAAGTCTACTAGAGGCACCACTAGATGGCGACAAGACAGCGGGCGGGAGCTTCATGGTGTGCAATAGGGGGACTATACAGGTCTCTCAGGAAGTGTGTAATGGTGAGCAACAGACTGCAGAATATGAAACAAAGAAATGATATAGATATATAGAAAGGATAGTTACTACAGAGCTGGTTGCAAGGGCAGACTTTTTTCACCATCTTCCCTGAAGCAGAAAGAGAGAGACACGTGTTAGCACAGAGCCGACATCCCAACAACGGAGATAGCTGAGTAGGGAGGGAGATCAGATCAAGCAGAGCACAGAAAATGGGCAGAGCCGAACAGAGAGCGGAAGCTCCACTAATACCCCGGCCAAAGGCTGCAGATTAAGCGAAGAAAGATCAACCAGCTGTTTGAAGAGTTGCAAGTCCCACAATGTTGGCCGCTGCGAGGCATGCTGGGTCTGTGCAACCTCCAATGGCTGGAAGATAAAAGCTGCCATTACAGAATCGGTGCGCAAGTTTTTTTATTTTGCCCTTGTTAACCCCTATTCACACGAGAAACAGCCGGCCCATACAGATCCGTGCTGCGTGCACGTAGTATCGTGCCGCTCCCAGGAAGGACGGGTGCACCATGTGATTACGCGCAGCAGCCTGTCCTCTATAGGAGTATGCGGCTGTACGCCCCCCTACGCTCACCCGACCTGCACGTCCGTGTGGGTGTCCGTACTCTGACGCAGACAGGATCCATCCTGTCAGCATACAAGTACGGACGGACGTGCAGGTCGGGTGAGCATAGGGCGTCGTACGGCTGCATACTCCCAAAGAGAAAGACAGGCTGCTGCGTGTAATCACACACAGCACCCGTCCTTCCCGGGAGCGGCCCGATACGGCCGTGCATGCTGTACGGATCAGTACGGGCCGGCTGTTTCCCGTGTGAATGAGGGCTTAGCATAAAGGATCAATGATTTAATTATTCCATCATAGTTGTCCATACCCTAAGGACCCATGAAGAATAATTCCATCATGGGTCCTTAAGGCTTTGGGCTTCCCTCACGCAATATATGAGAACTTGTATATGCATCTGTCACATCAAATGAAAGCCCTTTCTGTCCTTTAAAAAAAATTGTATAAAATGTGTTGGTGCAATAAATGAAAAACAGAGAAAATAGCTTTGGTCCTTAACTGAAAGACCCGCATCTGAAGCTTGGTCCTTAAGGGGTTACCACCCCAGTAATAATTCCTTTAAGAACTAAGGGGCCTGTGACATACTAATTCATGAAAATCACCATGTTCTCTCATCACCTACTATAACAAACAGAGGAAGAACCTGAGCATACAACCTTTTGTTCATGACAGAATTGCTTTTCTCCCCATACTAGTTCATAGGAATGCAAAAGCAGCTTAGGAAGAGGTAAACGCAGGTCAGAAGGAGGTGAACTGCAAGTTAAATGCACCTGAAGGAACTCTGCAGCATCTCAAAACACAAGATGAATGTGACTGAAAGTACGCTGCCCATTCACACACACACTTAAATTGGCAGATTAGGTCAGAAACATTCTGCGACAAATGGCAAAACGCACTCATCAACTTATCAGCTTTAACCACTTGAAGGCCATAGTGTTTCACCCCCTTCCTGGCCAGGCCAAAGGTGCACACGAAAGGGCGTCAAACAGTACAACAGCAAAAGGTTTCCCAGCACTAGAGCTGCAGCTAACGATTATTTTCAAAATCGATTAGTTAGCCGATTATTAAGTTCGATTAATCAGATAAACAATCAAATACATTTTAAAAAATGGCTCCAGTGATGGACTACTAGTTTGTATTGAAAGGAGCAAGCTTGGAGCGGTGGAAGTAAAAAAGAAAAAAAAAAGTGTGGTGTGCAATATAGTTAAATGGAAAGTGTAAAATTATACAGCAATGAATGCAGAATAGCACCAGCTATAGAGGACTACAAAACCCAGCAATAGTACATTATACAGCGCAATGCAGAATACCACCAGCTATAGAGGAATACAACAAATCCCAGCAATACATTATACATGCAGTGTATAATGTATTGCTGGGATTTGTATTCCCATGTATAATATACAGCACAATGTACCATCAGCTATAGAGGAATACAAATCCCAGCAATACATTATAGAGCACCACGTGTGGGAAAGTGCAGGCTTATACCTGAGCAGTCTTCCAGCAACTTGCTTCTGAGATCGGGCCTGTCAATCTGCCGCTGTCATCCCCCCCACACCTGCTCCTCCTTACTACATCTCCCCGCGTCCCTGTGCCGATGGAGAATGTGGGCGGGCGGTGAGTGCGAGGCTGGAAGGAGGTGCGGCGTGTAGAGCGTGGATGCGGGTCTGTCAGCGTTGAGCGTGAGTTAGGGAGGAGGTGGGGCGCGCAGCGTGTGTGGAGCCGTGAACAGGGCCAACTGATCAGAAGCCGATTAATCGATTATTGAAAAAGTTGACAACTTTTTCAATAATCGATTATAATCGATTATGTCGATTAGTTGTTGCAGCCCTACCCAGCACGCTCACCAGCCAGCATGCAAAAAACAGAGGTTGTGATGTGCGGGGTCCCTTGTGAGGCACGTGTGTTCCTGTGCCTTTAAGGGGGTTGGGCTGTCTCCTGGCAAAGCTGCACTCAATTTTATATTTTGCTACATGTGCTCCAAGATGGAGACTCTCATAGGTTAGAGTTAGGACCGCACTACACAGAGGGGCCTTGACGTGGCTGTGCGGCTTTCACATATTCTGCAGAAGACGTGTATCTAAAACCTCTGTTTTTAACCTTAGTGGTGAGACAAGTTTTTTTTGCATGCTGGCTGGCGTGCTGGGAAACCTTTTGCTGTTTTCATAGACTAGGGATGCACCAATACCGGTTTTTCGATATCGAGTACCAATTTTCTTTTTTTTGGTACTTGCCGATAGAGCTGCAGCCAACGATTTAGCCGATTATTCAGTTCGGTTAATCGGATAAAAAATAAAATACGTTTTTAAAAATGGCTCCAGTGATGGACTACTAGTTTGTATTAAGATACCACCAGCTATAGAGGACTACAACAAATCCCAACAATAGTACATTATAGCTGGCGGTATTCTGCATTGCGCTGTATAATGTACTATTGCTGGGTTTTGTAGTCCTCTATAGCTAGTGGTATTCGGCATTGCACCACTGTATAATGTATTATTGCTGGGATTTTTTTGTACTCTATAGCTGGTGGTATTCCGCATTGCGCTGTATAATGTATTATTGCTGGGATTTGTAGTCCTCTATATAGCGCAATGCAGAATACCACCAGCTATAGAGGAATACAACAAATCCCAGCAATACATTATACATGCAGTGTATAATGTATTGCTGGGATTTGTATTCCCATGTATAATATACAGCACAATGTACCATCAGCTATAGAGGAATACAAATTCCAGCAATACATTATAGAGTACCATGTGTGGGAAAGTGCAGGCTTACCTGAGCAGACTTCCAGCAACTTGCTTCTGAGATTGGGCCCGTCTATCGGCGGTTGTCATCCGCCCACAGCTGCTCCTCCTTACTTCTTCTCCCTGTGCCGATCGTGGATTTGGGCAGGCGGTGAGCATGAGGTTGGGAGGAGGTGCGGCGCGTGGATGCGGGCGGGTTTGACAGCGGCGAGCGTGAGGTGTGGCGCGCAGCATGTGTGGATCCGTGAACAGGGCCAACCAATCGGAAGCCGATTAATCGATGATTGAAAAAGTTGACAACTTATTCAGTAATCGATTAGTTGTTGCAGCTCTACTTGCCGATATCGGTGCGGTTTGCCCCAATTATCAGGAAGTCGGGCGGCGGATCATGACCCCCTCTCCCGGCTTCCTGTGAAGCCGATGTTCTAGTGAAAGAACACCGGCTTCGCTTGCCCAGGTTGCCTGACACTTCAGGAAGCCGGGATTTTGGTCATTACGTGCCGCCCGGCTTCCTGATTGGTTAGGAAGCCAGGCTGCCTAGAAACAAGTGAAGCCGGTTTCCTAGCCAATCAGGAAGTGGGCCATAACCCACCGCCCGGCTACCTGATTGGAAAGGAAGCCTGCTTCATGCTCCCTCGGCATTGCAGGTCGGAGGGAGATCTCCCTCTGACCGGAAGTTCCGGTATCGGAGCATTTGGGAGAGTACGAGTACTCGCACAACTACTCGGTATCAGTGCATCCCTATTATATACACATTTATATTCCATTACGCCCCAATGACGGTGGAATGTTATAGGCTGTGAAACACAGTAGCTTGTTATCGCTATACTTCAACCATGAAATTAATACTTCTAGACTCCTACACTTTTGGTGTGGTGCCCTTGTTTTTTCTACACCATCCTGTATACACCCAAGGAACCCCCAAGGCCCCTGTGTGTTAGAGAGCTTCCCAACCAGAGTCTTCGCACGCTATAGTAGTGTTTCTGTAGAAGACCTTATTGTACCACAGGGCCTAGCCGATGTAATAGCTAATAAAAAATACATTTTAAGCGTTAACCATTTAAAAGACACATCCATGATGGGTTCAAATGGTGATTTTAAAAGTCCTCCCAACACCAATGAAAGAACCCAGGGAGGAAAAACTTTACTGTGCACAAGACAAGACCGATCAATGGCTGTAAGAAATTGTTTTGTCAGCGGTTTCTGAAATTGTTTTATCAGCAGTATGAAAAAAGCAATTTCTTCTCTAGAAAAACAGAAAGAGCAGATAATTGCACCTTTAGGCTATGTTCACATCTGCATGACACCCAGGAAGCGCGTCCCGGGATCGCACGGTCTTGTACAATGCAGACAGCGATTGCTGCGCGGGCACCATTGATTTCAATGGGGTGACATCCACGCGGCAATCGCAGAAAAAAGGTACAAGTACCTTCTTTTTGAGATACACGACATGCAGCTGTTTTACCCGGAAGAAAGCCATGCAATCTAAAGGAAATCTAAAATCAACAAAACCGAAGGAGAAACAATGTTCTTACGTAAACACCAAGAAGAAAAAAATCTTCCACACCTTACTGAAGATTTTCCTATCCAACTGGCCATTGAAAGAGGAGACTCCTCCTGGATGGGAGCTCCCAAGGGGGGTGAACAGATTGTCTCTGAAGATCCAAGAACCAGGTTCCCTCAAGCCACCAAGGAGCCATCAGTATAAAAAAACATCTCGCCTGATTCCACTTTTGTGAAATCCGAGGGATCAAGGACAGAGGAGGAAAAGCATAACGTAGGGT